AAACAATGAGATCAGCAGATTAATTGTATTGTCTACAATATTTTATACCTCCAAGGAAAATACTGTAGGTCTACGGTAAAATAAATTTCGTTTACGCACAGTTAAACTTCGCCGCTAATTGCTGTTGTGATAACTTTAACACAATCTTTTAATGACAGCATTTTGCATTTATTTTGTTTTTCGGACAATTTTGAACAAACTGAAATGAATTTCCTTTGTTGCTAGACTAATTCATTAACACCGGCACCTAACTTCAAGGGTGGGAGAAATGCCCGAGGTGGGTTCGAACAACAGTTTAGACTAATTCATTATATTAGGAGGGGAAAACATTGTTGAGATGGGTTTGAACAATAGTTTAGACCAGATATATTCGTGACAGTGGTCATTTATTACAGTTGTTGCATGTTGTCTTGGACCAAAAATTTATGCCTGCGGTTGCGTTACACAGGTGGTCATTTAATACAGGTAACTTATATGAAGACTCTATGGATAAACTATTCAGCGCCGGAAATTTTTGCCCGTTTTGACAGGTGCTCGTCAAATGCAGGTGGTTGCCTAAGCAGTTTTCACTGTGTATAAAAAATATTTATAACAATGTCTGAAATGTTATCAATTTAATACACCTAAGTACTCAATGAAGACTAAATGTAGTTGAAAACAAAGTCGCATCTAAAATAGTACAATAGAAACTGTTCTTCAAGTTAAGCCTTAATCCTTTTCCTCTCCCCCACAAGGGAAATTTCGAAAAATCCTTTCTTGGTGTGCATTTTCATGATGTACCCTAACTGTGTACCAAATTTCACCTCTTTAGGTTCAGCAGTTTGCTCTAGGCAATGATGAATCAGTCAGTCAGTCAGTCAGGACAAGTAATTTTATATATTTAGATTAAATCTAAACTACTGGATTGGCTTTTGGGCTATTATCCAGAGAGGGTGTCCCATTATCTTTTCTTTCAGAATTTTCTAAATTACTTTATAACTATTCAGTTACACTTTTGTATAAAAATAATTTAATTTACTTCATTGAATATTTAAATTTTAACAAATTTAAATATTCATAACCTGAAAATAATCTTGTAATTTTGGCAGAACTTTGGTTCCAAAAAAATTTGTACTCTTGGAATGGAAAAAGCCAGAAGCAGAATCAAAAACTAGAATGAATTAATCCATGATTAATTTTGGCATGTTATTGTGAGGACCCAAACGGGGTCCGAAAGCAGGCATTAACGACTTTTTAAATGAGTCAAGTTTCGTAGTGCGAAAGAGTGAACTTAAAGATCGGATTTAAACAATGAACCTTTTGTCTTGTTAAAAGATTTTAAACAATAGATAGAGTAAAGTCGAGGAAAACGAGGTTGGAGAGGAGTCGTGTTCCGACGCGACGTTGACCTCTCCCGCGCCCTTCCTGGAGTTTCGAATTGTCACCATGTGACGAGGAGAGACCAATGGAGAGGCGACCGCGGTGGAAAAATTGATAAAACCGCGTTTTCGGGAACTTTACGGAGTCTTTGGTTTTGGTGTATAGAGCTCACCTGTCGGGATTTGGTGCTCCCGACCGAGACGCAACGAAGGCTCTTTCGACGACCTAGGAACTGGTTTCGCCAACCCGTCCACTCTAGGATCGCCGAGGTCACGTCCAGAATCGTCGAGGTTCGACTTGTCAACCGAGGACATCACTACAAGTGTTGGTGCGTGCCCCGGAGCCATCGTTCTCTGCGTCCACAGTGCCGAAAGCTCCCCAGGGATCAATCGAACATTCGAACTATCCGATTTTTAGGAACTGTGACAGAAACCCATCATGGGATAAGCTCTTGCCCGCATTAGATTGTTGTAAGAACGATTTTATATGGCAAACCTGTCTCGGTGAGTCATTCCGCGCCCACACGACGGAATTGACCGCTCGGCTGTCGAAAAACCCTCACCCTAATCGGCTGACCTCACATTATGAATAATTGTTTTTTTAAAAACAGGGCTTCTTATTTAAGAAAAATCATAAATCAGGCATGATTGCACACTCTACATTACTCTCTGATTCAATCAACTGTACAAATGAGCCAAAATAATTCAAGTAATCTGATTATTCAATATTTGCACAAAGCCGAACTTTTCAAAAAATGTCTGACTCAATTTTTTTTGTTTTGATAAATTCATTCCAGAAGCAACAGATCTGTGTCTATGCAATTAATTTACCAATTATGTAAAGTAATTGCATACAAATATGTTATGTTGATTCAGTTAGTTTAGAATAACTACTTGGTGAATAAACAATAACTTAAATTTATGGCCATAATTCAGATTCATTAAGCATGTAATTTCACAGATATTTAATGTGTAGTTATTTGAAAACTACTTTGTTGGTTATCCTTTATTCCAATAAAACTACATATCCTTTACTATACAAATTCTAATGTTTTTTTAAAAATAATATACTTACACATAATCTTCATATGTGGCTAACCAATTAGCAGGTGTATTTTCATTTGGCTTTCCATGTTTATCCAGCAAACCTTCGACAATCATTTTCTTTTTTGCAGAAGCCTAAAATTATTTATTATATATAAATATTGCAAACTTACTAGTATTTTGCATTATTTATGCAAAAATATACCTACAACAGGACCCAGACCCCATTTTCGGGGATATGTATCACGTTCCATGACAACCCTCTTAATTTTTGCCACTGCTCCATGATTACAGCTGGCAATTGTAGCCGTTGTCATAAGAGCTATGGCTGTAAGCATTATAGGTTAAAATTATTCTATTGTAGCCATAATATAATCCAAAATTAAAATAAATGATTCATTTTTTAAAATTTACCAAGACAAATAGCTTCTCCTTTTGTCGTAATTAAAACAATTTCTTCATTCACTTCGATTCCATCTTCATAACGCAAGACTCCTGGAAGCATAATTTTGGCACCATAACATATGGCATTTACCTAAAAATTATTAGATATTTTATCAGTTATACTGAAATCAAACCTATAAATTTTTTAATTTTCATGAATTTATAAATCAATCAATAGAATAGGTCAAAATTCCTCTTTTTAATATAATTTATGATACTGTAGTTATCTACATGAAAATTAACAATTATTATTTCAATTATAATTTAATTTTTGTAACTTTTTCACATATCTAATATGCATATAAACAGAACAAAATCTTCTACAACATACTACAAATATATAGACAATTTCTTACATCACATTTACTATACTAATAATGGTTATAAATTGTATCTGACATGTTCATTTCTTAGAATAGATGAATTACACTATAAATACTAGTTACTGAACAATATTACAATCTTAGATTTTCATACAAGATGATAATTAATTTCTACTTATGTTACAGCAACACAATTAAAGCACAGGAGAATCAACATTTTATGTTCTTCTCTGCACAAAAGCTGAGAAGAACATAAAAGGACATACAACAATTTGTGTTCTTGTCATTTTTAATACCAGGCCAACTCAAATCATTTCATGGGCTAATTTGATAAATCCAAACTCTTTTCTAATTGCAGCCTGTGAACAAGGGAAAAAATGCCTCAATCTACCAGATTTAGTGGAAATTACTAAATTGGTAATTCTGGATAAATAATGTGCTCATTATACACTGCTCCTTGTTAGAAACCCTTCATGTTGGTTAACTGTAAGATGTTTGTGTGGTGAAGAGATACAAGTAACATTCCTCTGGTGGCAATAATTATAAAGCTTCATACATATCATATGGTTACTGTGTGTTCAAATCTATATATTTTATTGAAATTACTGACAGTAAGATACCTACTTTAATCATGTGAAACAAGCATCTATCTTTCTGGATATTTAATTGAATATAGTGCAACTTGCACTACATTCAATTCATCAGTAGGCTACAAAAAAAAAAAAACACCAGCAGGCCACACATAGCTCAGGGATTGGCCAAACCTGTTTAGTACAGTCAAACCCCATTGATACAAAGGACTTAAAATTGGCACTTTGTAATTTTGTGTTAAAAAATAAAATATCAACAGTTCTATCATCAAATGGCAATAAAATTTTTTCTGTTTTTTTGTTTGTAGATTTTAAAAATAAACTTCTGTGTTGTTACAAACATATACTTTATTGAGATAAAGAGGTTTGAAGACATAAATAATTGTAGAAATATGCATCCTTATTAACTGGATTAACTGGAAAAGACCACTGGCCATGCAGCCTTCTAGTTGGTATATTTCAACTGATTATTCTTCAACATAACTTTTATTATTACAGTGGCTTGAAGAAAGAATCAATGCTTATTTTTCAATATCAATTAGTGTTGGTAAAAAGAGGATTAAAGCTAATAGATATAACAGGATGACCTAGCTACCAAACTGAATCCAGATACTACAAAACTTTCCAAATTTAAAAATAACTTAGTATCTTTGAAATCCAAGCAAATCTGTTTGTAATTTTAAAATTAAACTGATTACAATAGTTAATACTGCAATTCAATTGTTTTGTTATTTCCATTATTAAAGCAATTAAAAACAAGAATTATTTCATAAAACTTCCAAACCACTCTGACTCCATTAACTTCTAGCTTCCAATGTGCACATCAACTGTTTTAACTAATCATTTAGCATCACTGCAGCATTCAAAGTGTTGACTACAAAACAGAAAATATAATTTTTCGAGTTAGTGTGAACAGCATTAATGGGGCACATACCCACATTGCCAACAAAGATAATAATATCCCTTGATCATGATAGTTTGTGTGTTGCCACTGGTTCTTGTGACTTTGGGAAATTGAAGTAGTGGGCTTTGTATTAAACGACATAACATAATTGTTATTGAATTTACAAAAGCACAACACACTTTGTATTATATATTAGCCAATATTTTGTGTTAACCAAATTCATGAACATTGAAATGCCTAGCTTTGTCCATATGACCACAAAGTCAAGCTCGGATTTAAAATATAACAATATTATATTAAATAAATTTTATATATAAATACATAAATTTTAACTCACAGCAGTGTCTTTCATAACAATCCTTTTATGAGAAACTAATAAGGCTTCTAAAGGTTTGATGACTCGTCTCAGATATGACTCATCTTTATGATTAAGGTACAGATATTGAGCATCTAAAACATCATGCATTGTCACTAATCCATCCTAAAAATAGATATTAAGTAATTAAATTGAAAATTACTTTATTAAATTCAATTTTAGAAACTTTTACCTTTTCTGACTGAATCCCAGATCGAACTCTTCTCAATTCTTGCATTTGACCTCCAGTACCCAGTGATAAACCCAAATGAACACACAGTGTTCTTATGTAAGTTCCAGCCTCACAGCTAACCCAAAATAATCCTAAATTTACAATTTGAAATAAAATTATATATTTCAATGTAAAATGCTATATGAACACTAATTAAAACTGTTTTACTTACCCATGTTCTGCTCTTGTTTATATTCTAAAAATTTGATTTCATAGATTGTCCGAACTCTGAGTTGTCGTTTCACTGCAGATATAAGAGGTGGTCTTTGAAACAATGCACCCGTCAATGACTCTACTGTCTGAATAAATATTAAATGCATTTTTTTTAAAANGCAATTATTTGCGAGAAAGCTAAAAAGATACATGCTGATGTCATGAAAAATCAAGCAGGAACTAGCCAGGAAAGCGAGGTGTTTAAAGCCAGCCATTTTTTTTTTACATGAGAACGGATTAATCATTTTTACATTTCTTCTTATGGGAAAGGTTGGTTTGGTATACATCCAAACATCAGGAACAGATTAAGGTCGTATATCGAGGTTCCACTGTACATATATTAAGCTGTTGCCTGCGACTTCACCCGTGTGGATTTTGCAAGCAAATCCCATTTATATTCAGTATTTCAACAACCATAGTAATTGTTATATAACACCTACTGCTGAGAATGATGAGAATCAAACGAACTGTTTTCAATTTGATCAATTTTCTGGANATGTTCTGCTCTTGTTTATATTCTAAAAATTTGATTTCATAGATTGTCCGAACTCTGAGTTGTCGTTTCACTGCAGATATAAGAGGTGGTCTTTGAAACAATGCACCCGTCAATGACTCTACTGTCTGAATAAATATTAAATGCATTTTTTTTAAAAAACCAAATTATATTTTGACTTTTAGAAATATTTACGTATACTAAAAATTCTGAGATTACAAATTATCTAGAAAAATCACTGTATATGAAGAATTTTGATAATTAAGATTTTATTCATTCTAATGTACTTTCAGTAGTTTTCATATTATTCTAAGTTTTTCTTTTTTAATAAAATTTTTAATAAAATCCTTAATTAATAAAATAAATAAAATCCTTAAATTAATATAATTTAATATACTGATAGAGTTGGTAATATATACAAAACAGTTTTTAAAATTAAATGACATTTTAATTTTAAAAACTATTTTGTATATATTACCAACTCTATCAGTATATGTCCCCTTTCAATAATTATAGTCTTAGATAATTAATAATTTATTTAATCAAATACTTAAGATAATAATTGCAAAACTTACTTTTGCTACTTGATTTATACTTTCGGGAGCACTATGAAGTTGAAAAATGCAGACATATTCTTTTCCAGCACCCTGCTGTGATTTAACGAGACGTGTTGCTCTTTCAATACATACAATTAAGCATCCCGTTACTTTTGGATCCAAAGTACCACTATGTCCAGTCTTCTGAACTCCAAGAATCCTTTTAATCCAAGCCACGACTTCATGAGAAGATGGATTAGATGGTTTATCAAGATTTATAAAACCAGATCTGATATATTCTTGAATTTCACGTTTTAATGGAGAACATCCAGAAGGAAGAGGCGTATAATGATTTGTTCTTACATTTAGTTTATGAAAATTCTGTAAACAAAATTAGAATTTAATTTCAGATACCTGTTTTTAAAAATTATTTTATTAAATAATCTTAACATTAATTGAAACCTAATGGCTAAAAATTTTTAATTATAATATTGGATACAGTAAGAAAGNTGCATGCTTTTTAGCCATTTTTACTAAGCAAAACTCAAGGTGAGCAAAAATAAGCAAATTTTTTCAACGATAGGGCTATATTGGTATTGTATTTTATTCATATCGAATAACTTGATTTACAGGAGTCATCCTGATTTTATAAGACAGATTTAATACCAATATTTTAAAGATTAATACAATAATTGCATTTTCTCAATTATAATGCACACTTTCTTTTTTCCAACTGAATTAATTCGACTTGGTTCTTTTCATTCGCTCCTCAGTTACATGTATTACGTCATCGATATACATTCTACATCACTTTGGTTTTGGTATTCGTTAGTTTAATGTTATTTAACTTAAGAAAATATTAAAAAATACAGTATTTTTAAAGTACAATAAGAAAAATTATTAATTAATAAAACGATTTTATTATTTTTTCTCATGATACGATTTCATTACATTCCGCAATTGTCATTGCGTAATTGAAAAAGTAAGGTTGCCTGTAAAACTGATTTTTGCATTAATGCATTTATTGTTTTTTGAATATTTTGTATGCAAAAATTACTTGAATATTATTTTTCTAAAAATATTGTGGAAATAAGGCAGGTTGATACAGAAACTATTTATCATATATGTACTGTATATGAGCTTCAAAATAAATAAATAAATAAAAATAAATTTTATCAAACAATGAGATCAGCAGATTAATTGTATTGTCTACAATATTTTATACCTCCAAGGAAAATACTGTAGGTCTACGGTAAAATAAATTTCGTTTACGCACAGTTAAACTTCGCCGCTAATTGCTGTTGTGATAACTTTAACACAATCTTTTAATGACAGCATTTTGCATTTATTTTGTTTTTCGGACAATTTTGAACAAACTGAAATGAATTTCCTTTGTTGCTAGACTAATTCATTAACACCGGCACCTAACTTCAAGGGTGGGAGAAATGCCCGAGGTGGGTTCGAACAACAGTTTAGACTAATTCATTATATTAGGAGGGGAAAACATTGTTGAGATGGGTTTGAACAATAGTTTAGACCAGATATATTCGTGACAGTGGTCATTTATTACAGTTGTTGCATGTTGTCTTGGACCAAAAATTTATGCCTGCGGTTGCGTTACACAGGTGGTCATTTAATACAGGTAACTTATATGAAGACTCTATGGATAAACTATTCAGCGCCGGAAATTTTTGCCCGTTTTGACAGGTGCTCGTCAAATGCAGGTGGTTGCCTAAGCAGTTTTCACTGTGTATAAAAAATATTTATAACAATGTCTGAAATGTTATCAATTTAATACACCTAAGTACTCAATGAAGACTAAATGTAGTTGAAAACAAAGTCGCATCTAAAATAGTACAATAGAAACTGTTCTTCAAGTTAAGCCTTAATCCTTTTCCTCTCCCCCACAAGGGAAATTTCGAAAAATCCTTTCTTGGTGTGCATTTTCATGATGTACCCTAACTGTGTACCAAATTTCACCTCTTTAGGTTCAGCAGTTTGCTCTAGGCAATGATGAATCAGTCAGTCAGTCAGTCAGGACAAGTAATTTTATATATTTAGATTAAATCTAAACTACTGGATTGGCTTTTGGGCTATTATCCAGAGAGGGTGTCCCATTATCTTTTCTTTCAGAATTTTCTAAATTACTTTATAACTATTCAGTTACACTTTTGTATAAAAGTAATTTAATNAAGACTCCTGGAAGCATAATTTTGGCACCATAACATATGGCATTTACCTAAAAATTATTAGATATTTTATCAGTTATACTGAAATCAAACCTATAAATTTTTTAATTTTCATGAATTTATAAATCAATCAATAGAATAGGTCAAAATTCCTCTTTTTAATATAATTTATGATACTGTAGTTATCTACATGAAAATTAACAATTATTATTTCAATTATAATTTAATTTTTGTAACTTTTTCACATATCTAATATGCATATAAACAGAACAAAATCTTCTACAACATACTACAAATATATAGACAATTTCTTACATCACATTTACTATACTAATAATGGTTATAAATTGTATCTGACATGTTCATTTCTTAGAATAGATGAATTACACTATAAATACTAGTTACTGAACAATATTACAATCTTAGATTTTCATACAAGATGATAATTAATTTCTACTTATGTTACAGCAACACAATTAAAGCACAGGAGAATCAACATTTTATGTTCTTCTCTGCACAAAAGCTGAGAAGAACATAAAAGGACATACAACAATTTGTGTTCTTGTCATTTTTAATACCAGGCCAACTCAAATCATTTCATGGGCTAATTTGATAAATCCAAACTCTTTTCTAATTGCAGCCTGTGAACAAGGGAAAAAATGCCTCAATCTACCAGATTTAGTGGAAATTACTAAATTGGTAATTCTGGATAAATAATGTGCTCATTATACACTGCTCCTTGTTAGAAACCCTTCATGTTGGTTAACTGTAAGATGTTTGTGTGGTGAAGAGATACAAGTAACATTCCTCTGGTGGCAATAATTATAAAGCTTCATACATATCATATGGTTACTGTGTGTTCAAATCTATATATTTTATTGAAATTACTGACAGTAAGATACCTACTTTAATCATGTGAAACAAGCATCTATCTTTCTGGATATTTAATTGAATATAGTGCAACTTGCACTACATTCAATTCATCAGTAGGCTACAAAAAAAAAAAAACACCAGCAGGCCACACATAGCTCAGGGATTGGCCAAACCTGTTTAGTACAGTCAAACCCCATTGATACAAAGGACTTAAAATTGGCACTTTGTAATTTTGTGTTAAAAAATAAAATATCAACAGTTCTATCATCAAATGGCAATAAAATTTTTTCTGTTTTTTTGTTTGTAGATTTTAAAAATAAACTTCTGTGTTGTTACAAACATATACTTTATTGAGATAAAGAGGTTTGAAGACATAAATAATTGTAGAAATATGCATCCTTATTAACTGGATTAACTGGAAAAGACCACTGGCCATGCAGCCTTCTAGTTGGTATATTTCAACTGATTATTCTTCAACATAACTTTTATTATTACAGTGGCTTGAAGAAAGAATCAATGCTTATTTTTCAATATCAATTAGTGTTGGTAAAAAGAGGATTAAAGCTAATAGATATAACAGGATGACCTAGCTACCAAACTGAATCCAGATACTACAAAACTTTCCAAATTTAAAAATAACTTAGTATCTTTGAAATCCAAGCAAATCTGTTTGTAATTTTAAAATTAAACTGATTACAATAGTTAATACTGCAATTCAATTGTTTTGTTATTTCCATTATTAAAGCAATTAAAAACAAGAATTATTTCATAAAACTTCCAAACCACTCTGACTCCATTAACTTCTAGCTTCCAATGTGCACATCAACTGTTTTAACTAATCATTTAGCATCACTGCAGCATTCAAAGTGTTGACTACAAAACAGAAAATATAATTTTTCGAGTTAGTGTGAACAGCATTAATGGGGCACATACCCACATTGCCAACAAAGATAATAATATCCCTTGATCATGATAGTTTGTGTGTTGCCACTGGTTCTTGTGACTTTGGGAAATTGAAGTAGTGGGCTTTGTATTAAACGACATAACATAATTGTTATTGAATTTACAAAAGCACAACACACTTTGTATTATATATTAGCCAATATTTTGTGTTAACCAAATTCATGAACATTGAAATGCCTAGCTTTGTCCATATGACCACAAAGTCAAGCTCGGATTTAAAATATAACAATATTATATTAAATAAATTTTATATATAAATACATAAATTTTAACTCACAGCAGTGTCTTTCATAACAATCCTTTTATGAGAAACTAATAAGGCTTCTAAAGGTTTGATGACTCGTCTCAGATATGACTCATCTTTATGATTAAGGTACAGATATTGAGCATCTAAAACATCATGCATTGTCACTAATCCATCCTAAAAATAGATATTAAGTAATTAAATTGAAAATTACTTTATTAAATTCAATTTTAGAAACTTTTACCTTTTCTGACTGAATCCCAGATCGAACTCTTCTCAATTCTTGCATTTGACCTCCAGTACCCAGTGATAAACCCAAATGAACACACAGTGTTCTTATGTAAGTTCCAGCCTCACAGCTAACCCAAAATAATCCTAAATTTACAATTTGAAATAAAATTATATATTTCAATGTAAAATGCTATATGAACACTAATTAAAACTGTTTTACTTACCCATGTTCTGCTCTTGTTTATATTCTAAAAATTTGATTTCATAGATTGTCCGAACTCTGAGTTGTCGTTTCACTGCAGATATAAGAGGTGGTCTTTGAAACAATGCACCCGTCAATGACTCTACTGTCTGAATAAATATTAAATGCATTTTTTTTAAAAAACCAAATTATATTTTGACTTTTAGAAATATTTACGTATACTAAAAATTCTGAGATTACAAATTATCTAGAAAAATCACTGTATATGAAGAATTTTGATAATTAAGATTTTATTCATTCTAATGTACTTTCAGTAGTTTTCATATTATTCTAAGTTTTTCTTTTTTAATAAAATTTTTAATAAAATCCTTAATTAATAAAATAAATAAAATCCTTAAATTAATATAATTTAATATACTGATAGAGTTGGTAATATATACAAAACAGTTTTTAAAATTAAATGACATTTTAATTTTAAAAACTATTTTGTATATATTACCAACTCTATCAGTATATGTCCCCTTTCAATAATTATAGTCTTAGATAATTAATAATTTATTTAATCAAATACTTAAGATAATAATTGCAAAACTTACTTTTGCTACTTGATTTATACTTTCGGGAGCACTATGAAGTTGAAAAATGCAGACATATTCTTTTCCAGCACCCTGCTGTGATTTAACGA